GAATACTTTTTGTATAATGTGTGAAAGAGGGCTCTATATTTGTTTTATTTCAAGATAAAGTGGTCCATGCACCTTATTTGTTGAATAAGCCTTATTTTCCCCCATTGAATTGAAATATCAATTTAATAATATATTACATTGTTAGAAAGATATATATGTTTGTTTCTAGAATGCTCATTTTATTTCATTGAATAATCTACTCGATTATTTCTGTGCTGGTGTCATGTTGTTTTACTTGCTGAGACTTTTCAATGGATTTAATTTTTTTAATATTTTATAATGGATCTTGACATTTAAAAAAAATAAATAAAATCAATCTGCATTTTAAAAAGGAAAGAAAGGAAGGACTCCTACCTTTTGCGACAACATGGATGGAACTGGAGAATATTATGCTAAGTGAAATAAGCCAGTGGGTGAAAGACAAATAACCATATGATCTTACCGATAAGTGGAATCTATTCAACAAAATAAACTAACGAACAAAATAAACCCCATGTATGGAAACATGGAGCAGACTGAAAGTGACCAGAGGGTATAGGGAATGAAGACAATGGTGGAAAGAAGGAGAAGGGACTAGACAAAGAACATGTGTGAATGACCCGTGGACATGGACAACAGAGTGGGAATTGACTGAGGGAGAGGGGTGTGAGGGTGGGGTGGGTGGAGGAGGGCAAAGGGGGGAAAAGTGAGACTACTGTAATTGAGTAAATGTGATTTAAAAATAAAATAAAATAAATAAAAATTTAAAAATAAAAATAAAGAACCAATGAACAAATAAGTGGAAAAACAAGAAGGAAAGGGCAAAATGGGCAAATCCATTAAGACAGAAAGCAGACTGGTCCATTTTAAAAATTATTTATTGTTTTAAAAGTTTTTTCTGCTGTTGCATTTTAATATTTTATAATGGATCTTGACATTTAAGATCAGTTAAGGCTCAGTTGATTGAGCGCTGGCCTGTGAACCAGTCACTGGTTCGATTTCCAGTCAGGACAATGCCTGGGTTGCAAGCCAAGTCTCTGGTTGGGGGTGTGTGAGAGGCAAGAAGATGATGTATCTCTTACACATTGATATTCCTCTCCTTCTTTGTCCCTCCCTTCCCATCTCTCTAAAAATAAATAAATAAAATCTTTTTAAAAAAAGATTTAAAAGTCTTTTTAATTTTTATTGATTCAAGACAGAAGGAAAGAAAGGGAGAAAGAGAGAGACACACACATCAATGTGAGAGAGAAATATCAATTGTTTGCTTCCTGCACGTGCCCTGACCAGAGATTAAGCCTTCAGCCTTGGAGTATGGTGATGACACACTAACCAGCTGAGCTACCCGGCCAGAGCCAGACTGGTCCTTGCCAGAGGTTGGGGAGTGACTGCATAATGTGTACAGGGTTTCCTTTTGGGGTGATGAAAAGGTTCTGCAACTAAATAGTGGTGATGGTTGCACACTTTGAATGTTCTAAATGCCACTGATTGTACACTTTAAAATGGTTAAAACTGTGAAGTTTATGCTATGTGTATTTTACCACAATAAAGAAATTAGTAAGGGGGGAATCCTAGAAAGGTTTTTGTACATATAGAGAAAATTATTCTAAAAGTTATATGGGAAGGCAAAGGAACTAGAATTGCTAAAACAAATTTTGAAAAAAAAAAAAGAATTAAGTGGGAGGAATTAGCCTGCCCATTTTGCTCAAAACTTTACCCCAAGACTTATTAAAAGGCTATAGCAGTCAAGATAGTGGGTATTTAGCAGAAGATTAAATACACAGATCAATGAAACAGAATAGAGGACCCAATGGTAGACCTACACAAATATACCCAACTGATTTTTTTTCACAAAGGTGCAAAAGCAATTGAATGAAAAATAGTTTTTTAAATACATATTGCTGACGATATTGAACATTCATACCCTTAACCTCAGTCTCAGACCTTATACAAAAAAATAACTCAAAGTGGATCACCAACTTAAATGTGAGGTATAAAACTTTTAGAAGAGCTAAAGATTTGACACCAAAACATTATCTGTAAAAGGAGAAACTGATAGAATAGACTTCATCAAAATTAAAACACATTTGCTCTGCAAAAGACCCTGCTATGAGGATGAAAAGACAAACTAGTGATTATACAAATCACATACCTAAGAAAGGACTATTATCTAAAATATATAAAGAACTCCCAAAGTCCACAGTAAAAAAAAAATAATAATTAAAAAAACAGTCCAATGAGAAAATGGTCAAAAGACATGAAGGGACATTTCACCAAAGAGGATATATAGATAGCAAACACATGAAAATATGTTCATCAGCATTAGCCATTAGGGAGATACAAATTAAAACCACAATTAGATATCCCTAAATATCCATCAGAATGGCCAGAATAAAAAATAATAATAATATCAAATGCTGATGAGAATAATGCCAAAAAACCACATCATTCATACATTGCTCATGGGAATGTAAAATGGTAAGCCACTTTGGAAAACAGTTTGGCAGTTTATTTTTTAAAAAACTAAATATGTAACTTTCATATGATCCAGAATTTGCCCTCCTGTGCACTTATCCCAGAGTAATAAAAACTAATACTTACACAAAACCTGTATGCAAATGTTTATTGCAAACCTATCAATAATAGCCAAAAACTGGAAACAAGGCAGATGTCCTTCAACAGGTGAATAGTTAAACAAGTTGTGGTACATCTCTCCCCAATAAAAAGAAACAAACTATTGATACACACATAACTATTGGGTGAATCTCCAGAGAAAAATGCGGAGTGAAAAAAGCTAGTCCCCAAAGGTTACATACTATAACCTGTTTATATAACAATCTTAACATGACAAAATAATAGAAATGGAGAACAGATTAGTTATCGCTAGATGTTAAGGTGAGGATGAGGCATGAGGTATCCTGATAATGGAAATGTCTTGTAGCTTGATGTATCAATGTCAATATCTTGGTTGTAATATTGTACTATATAGTTTCACAAGATATTACCACTCGGGGGGAGCTGGGTAAAGGGCACTCAAATCTCTCTTTACTATTGCTTACAACTGCCTGTAAAGCTATAATAATCTCAAAATAAGTTTAATTTATGTTTAACGGGTATACGGTCTCAGTTTTGCAAGATGAAAAAGGTTCTGGAGATTGCACAACAATATGAATAAACTTACACTACTGAACTGTACACTGAAAAGTGTTAAGGTAGTAAATTTTATGTTATCTATATTTTACCACAATAAAGTATCATTGTGAACTCAGATTTAAATGTATATAAACATAGCAAATATACTTAAATCCATTGCAGATAGTGCCCATTTTGACACATACTGGCCTGTAGAAATTATTCTAGTAGCTCATGATTACTTTTAATGCACTCTTAAATCTTTGAAAGCTTCCTTGCTTATCTTGTTCCTGTCCTATACCTGAAATTAGTCATTTCTCCAAGGAGTTTCTTTTAGTGGAATATGGTATTAAGATAGCTCATTTTAAATACTAGCAAGTTCATTGCTAATGGATTATTTGTTTCTAGACCTTTTTAGGATCAAGTTAGGAAATATTTTAGGATAAAAACACCATAAGCTCCAAGTTATATTTCCAATTTAATTCAGAATTATAGAGTTTTTAACTGTGAACTGTAAATCTGTATCTCTTTATTCTACACCAAAAATCCTGGTTCACAAAGATACTAATATTTCTCATTAGTTTTATCTCACAAAACATAATAGTTTCAAAATTACAATACTAACACTACCGCCAACAATATGACTACTTTAAAATATTTTTGCACTTCTTTTTGTCTTTAGAGTATATCCCACTTAGGATGTCATGGTCAAATTATTGTTCTAAAGTCACTTCGATAGTTTGGTTGGGGGTATTTTACATTTTGGTAATAAAAACTTTATAATATGGCTTCATGTGGTTTAGTTTTTCTAAAGAAAAACTAAATTTGTCGGATATATGTGTATAATATAGAGAAGAGTCCTTCGCAGGCCTCTAGATTCTGAATTAAATGTAGAGTCAGTTAATGCAGATGCCTAAGTAAAACAATTTGGAATCAACCCTTCTGTTAACTTCACTTGGCAAGTACTAAGAGAAAAATGATCCCAGATGCCTATGGCTGCAAAAATATGCCATGGATAAATTCCTTGGCTGCAATATTTTAAAATGTCATAAGATTATGTTACTCCACAAAAGTATCTTTCTGTGTCTCCTTTCTCTCTTTCTTTCTCTCTCTCCAGTGCCCCTCCCCTGCAGATTAGTAACTATCAAAAACTTATATCCCCCATTTCTTCTTCACTTCTTTGCCTGGGTTAGCCTCCTCCCCCAGCAATTCAAGAGGGGGGGGCATGTGTGTGTGCACATGTGTGTGCACACGTGTGTGTGTTGGTGAGAGGGAGGGAAGAGAAATTGTTGTATAACTAAGGGAATGAAAATGAAGGTGGTAGGGGGATAGACAGCTGCAAGGATCTGAGCTGGAAGACTGAAACAAACCCTCCTCCTAAACAACTTAAGAGCTCAGATTTCTTCTCTGGACAGCTGGCTTTTTTTTCAGTCCTTCTGAAATACTCTGCAAAGATGGGGGAAGGGCTGTGAACTACCTCTGCTATGAACCTTACTTAAAGCCAGCTACTCACTAGATATGTCCTGTAGAAACTAAATGTAATATTCAATATAGCAGAGGTGAGGGTGGTGAATGAGAGGTATACAGTTGCCGACCCTAATTTTTAAAAGCTGGAGGCTCATTACTGAGCATGCTGGAGGTCTGTTTGGAGTAGACAGTGACTAGAGTCATATAAGCTAGAATTGGATATCTGATTTGCCTGTCATATTTGTCCCCCCTCCCCTACTTGGCACCCTATACTCCTCATTCTTTCTAATCCTCCTACCCTCCCCACTCCCAAACCCTACCCCCACCAAAGCTCCTGGAATTTTGGACTTAGCTATTTTTAAAACAGTCAACTCAGTAGCCACCTCCCTCCCCTGTCAGCTGTCCATTGCTCTGGCCAGCCATATACTCCCCCTTCCCCCCACACTAGACTTTCTCTGGCTTGCTGACCTCACTGAGATTGCTGCAGGTCTGGGGACCTGGGGGAGACATGGAGAAAGAGACGGGGGATCCCCTGGCTGGAGCTGACCAACAGAGTAGGCAGTCATATCTGGACAACTGGATATCAGAGTAATGTTTGACCTCTGGAAACAGTAAGTCAAAATGAAATTGCAATTCGTTTAATAAGCCTTTAGATTAAAGTTAAGACTTTCATAAAATTACAACACCTACTTGGATATCTCTGGTCCAAAAGCTAAGTAAGATCTCTTCCACGCTAAGGTGCCCAATCTCCATTTCTCCTGTCTGATTTCTCTCTGGCCTGAGGCCCCTGGCCATCTGAAGTTTAATTCCCCAGCTCTCCTCTGACAGTTTTAGCTCCCTCCTCACCTTGTTAGCTCAAGATTTCTGAGAAAGCCTCCTTCTTTAGGATGAGTTTCCTCCATCCCCCTAATCTGTTTAGTCTCACATGATTAGTCACTATTACTCTTCTACCCTGTCCCTGCTTAGCAGTGTCCTTTACATTGGGCTTCCAAGGATGGTGGCCACTTGTCATAAATTATTTATCCACACAACTCTAGTCCTGCTATCCTATCCTCCCTTCTGCATGACTCTTCCCTCAGTTATATCCTTATTCCAAGAGAGGCAAGTCCTCCCCTAAACCCTCTCCTCACCAAAAGACTAAGGACTTCTCAATTTGCATACAGAAGATTAATGAAAAAAGTAATTCTTCAGTCAGTTTTGGAAATATTCAAGAACTGTTGACTCATAACAAGCAAATATTGATTTGCATGCTTGGGTTACACTCCATTATTTGATGAGAGAAAAGGATTATAATTGCAGCTCTCTAGAATAGAATAAAGAAATTGGTTCCCTTTTCATTTGAATACCAAGGGGGTGGGTATTCCACCATTACTCCTTCTTGCTAAAAATTCTGACACAAAGGGAAAAAAATGAATGACCCCTGGAGGGTGTTCCCTCCTGATGGGGAGAGGCAAATAAGAGGTATGTTTCTGAAGTGTTTTTCAGATCCTAATTCTATCACGGAGCCTACTGGAATGACTGGGATCTGATCTGTCCCCATGATTACTCCTTTTTGGATATTTCTGCTGTTTGGTAGCTCAGAATGGGGGAATGTAGTGGACTCTGCCCCCTGAGGCCATTCAATGTTCTTTCCACCCCCCACCAAGGTGTATTGCATAAGGGACCAAAAAGTGGTCACAAGAGCAGAGCACAGAGGTTTAACAGCTACACTTATAGTTTGAGGAGCCCTATTCTCCCCAAACTCCAGTCTGCTTATCCTTTTCTTGATCCTTCCAGATTTTCTTCACATCATCCTGAACAATCTTCAACTTTTCTCTTTCCCCATGACCAGCCAAATTTCTTTTTTCAGTCTCTTACAGGACAGCCAGTCAAAATTCACTAGGTAGGACAGTCATCAGCTAGAAAGAACTGGAGCCTGGGGGCACCTGGCTGGAGAGGTATGAGGGATCCAAGCCAGTACCCTGCTCTCTGGCTCCCCCATGGCAGTCCTCCAACTCTAAGCACTCTCATTCTCCTGCTGCTCCTCTGTGGATATGGTAAGGAAAGGCTAAGGAAGGGTTTGGGAAATCTAGAGGGCAGGCTGCTATCTAGGGGTGGGCATGTGCACATGTGAGTGAGAAGAGATGGGTGCTGAGGAGTTGGTTACTTGCCCCACTCTCAAACAGGTACATTTTATTTCCCATTCAACTTGGGAAAGGGCACTGGAAAAGATCTCTATGGATAGGGAGACGAGACCTAACATGCTTAAACATCTTTAGCAAAACTGAGTGAAGACAGGACTAGGGAACTGGGGGCTGGGGGCTGGGGACTTGGGGAGGCCTTAAGTCATTTTAGGAATGACTGGAATCCCCTAATGAGATTTGGGAGAGCATATTCCGATTGAGCGGGGACCCGGGGATCATCTCACAAACCTCTCTCCTTTATGTTCTCAGCTCATTCTCAATGCAAGATCCTCCGCTGCAATGCTGAGTATGTATCGTCCACCTTGAGCCTTAGAGGTGGGGGTTCACCAGGAGCACTCCGAGGAGGAGGAGGAGGCCGGGATGGAGGGGTGGGCTCCAGTGGTCTCTGTCGAGCCCTCCGCTCCTATGCGCTATGCACTCGGCGCACAGCCCGCACCTGCCGTGGGGACCTCGCCTTCCACTCTGCGGTGCATGGCATCGAGGACCTGATGATCCAGCATAACTGCTCCCGCCAGGGCCCCACGGCCCCTCCCCCGCCCCGGGGCCCAGCCCTTCCAGGCGCTGGGCCCGTCCGCTCCTCTGGCCCCGCCCTTGCAGGCGCGAGCCCCGCCCTCTCCTCCGGCTCCACAGCCCCGGACCCCTGTGACTATGAAGGTCGGTTTTCTCGGCTGCACGGTCGTCCCCCGGGCTTCCTACACTGCGCCGCCTTCGGGGACCCCCACGTGCGCAGCTTCCACCACCACTTTCACACGTGCCGTGTCCAAGGAGCTTGGCCCCTGCTGGATAATGACTTCCTTTTTGTCCAGGCCACCAGCTCCCCCGTGGCTTCGGGGGCCAACGCCACAACCACCCGGAAGGTCAGGACTCAATTGCCCCTCCAGATCATCTTACGGTCACTTCACGGTACCACTCCCATCCCATTCCCACTATTCCTCAGCAATGCCCCCTATTCCCTTTTTCCCTCAACCACTCCCTTGTCTGGAATCACCCCCTCCTACCAAATATTTGTTCCTGTAAGTCACTTTCCCTGGGTGAGAATTTCACTCCAAGTCAGAAAACACTGAAAAGAAAGTTGGGGGAAAGATTGCTGAGGAGCCCTGGGATGAGGTGTTACAGAAGGGAAACTTTTCCTTCTCCTATGGGAGTTCCTGAGATTGAGGCCAAAAACTAGAGAGACAGACTGAGCAGGAATGAGGCAATATTAGAAGATACTGAGAAGGGATTGAGGAACGAGGGCCATGCTAAGCCTTGTATCTCTGCTGGGATCAGATCCCTAACTATGGAAGAGGCCTGATTGGGAGAAGGGGGAAGAATGCCCTGAGCCCAAAATGAACTGTTTTCCCTCTTGCCCTCACAGCTCACCATTATATTTAAGAATATGCAGGAATGCATTGATCAGAAGGTCTACCAGGCTGAGGTGGACAATCTTCCTGCAGCCTTTGAAGATGGTTCTATCAATGGAGGTGCCCGACCTGGGGGCTCAAGTTTGTCCATTCGAACTGCTAAACCTGGGAGCCATGTGGAGATCCAAGCTGCCTATATTGGTACAACTATAATTATTCGGCAGACAGCTGGGCAGCTCTCCTTCTCCATCAAGGTAGCAGAGGATGTGGCCAGGGCCTTCTCAGCTGAGCAGGACCTACAGCTCTGTGTTGGAGGGTGCCCCCCAAGTCAGCGACTCTCTCGCTCAGAGTGCAATCATCCGGGAGCTATAACCATTGATACTGCCAGACAGCTGTGCAAGGAAGGGCTGCCAGTTGAAGATGCTTACTTTCATTCCTGTGTCTTTGACGTTTTAATCTCTGGTGACCCCAACTTTACCGTGGCAGCTCAAGCTGCTCTAGAGGATGCTCGAGCCTTCTTGCCAGACTTAGAAAAGCTGCATCTCTTCCCCTCAGATGCTGGGGTTCCTCTTTCCTCGGCAACCCTCCCAGCCCCACTCCTTTCTGGACTTTTGGTTCTGTTGCTTTGCATTCAATAAGTAGGCCAGAAAGCCCTTGATTGGTTTGAAAATGATTTGGGCATACAGATTGACAAGGGAGAACATGAAGAATCACTGAAGCAATCAGCTGGGACTGGGAGACACACAAAACAATGCCATCTACATTTATCCAGAATCAGATAAGTCTGTACTTCAAAGCTGAAATAATCACAGAATAAGGATTCTGGGCCAGGCTTCTGCATTCCAGACCTCTTTAGGGACTCTTCACCAGTTTCCCCAGTCCCGTTTACAGTGAGTTGTTTCAGTCCATCTACACCCAAGATCACCCCCACAAGCTTAGAGGTTATAGTGGTCCTGATGATCAGTAGAAAACTGAAGGGTTGAGACTTTTAAGAGGACAGAACTAAAAGAGGAAGACATGATCATTACCCATAAATAAACTCAATGATTTTCTAGTGATTTTCTCTTGGAAGGTGGAAAGAGGAAAAAATGATTAGGGAAGAGTCTATTGGATGAATATATATATTTGAGGAGGATGTGTTCTGCTTTCTTGGTTCAGAAATGAAGTGGGAGTTGTCTGGATCTTAGGTGAAAGGGATCTCTGCCTTTGGAGAATGGCACTGATAATAAAGAAACTATCATCCCCACCCCTAACCAAACTGTTATTAAAGCTATGAATTCTTCACTCCTTTGGTTTCCTATGTTCAGTCTCTTCACGGATGCTTGAAAATGAGTAAGACAATGTAGTCACTCCACTGAAAAGGGGCTCAGAAGCATCAGACATTGTTTAGCCCTCAGGAGGTTTACAGGCTATTAGGGAGACAAAACTGATTCACATGAAGGAGTGATGAGCTTGTAATTACTCACTAAATTCTATGGTACTATGAATTCTGATGGGAAGATGGTTGGAGAGAACTCAAGAAATAATAAGAGGTAATAGAGAAGATGGGATTTCAAGTGACCTTAGAAGATTTAAATTGTTAAGCACCATCTTCCAGGCAATAGCAACCATCTGGTATTATGCACAGATTCATGATTCAGTGAGGAAACTAGCAAAACTTAAATGAATTAGGCAAGCAGTAATGGGATAGAAGGGTAATGGGTCAAGGCCAGATTATGAAGCACCTTGAAAGCAGAAACAAGGAGTCTAAATTCAATGAACAGCTAACATTTACTGAGAGCTTAAAATCTGTCAGGCAATGTTGTGAACACTTTTAAATTTTTAATTCATTTAATCCTCACAACTATTAAAGAAGTTAATATCCTCATTGCTATTTTTATATAAGGAAACTGAGGTACAGGAAGATTAAACAACTTGCCTGCAGTCATACAGCTAATAAATGATAAGAGCCAGAAACTGAACCCAGGCAGTTTAGCTCTAGAGCCTTAACTCTTAACCACTATACTATGTATTGTCAAGGAAACAAAGAGCCATTAAAAATTTTCATTTTGGAGCTGAGCAGAAAAGGAAAGCTGAGGCAGTGGCTGCTACCACAAAAGCTACTTTCTTCTATCATATGAAACCCAAAAGGAAGAGCCAGGGGGAGGGGGAGAAGCCCAAAGTTGAAGGAATCTAATTCGTAGAAGAAAAGAATTGAGAATAGAAGTTGTTCTAGTCCAGGATGTTCTAAAGTAACAGTGCTCCTCTGAACAAAAACTATTTAGGAGGTAACTTTTATATTAAGTATTTCCCCATTTTTTTCTGGTCTCAGCCTCCCACCTTCAGCTACTCTATTATCTTGGGCCTGTCCCTAATCTAATCACGTATTGACACTTATGTTCTCCATCTTCTCTCATCCTCACTCACCTGAACTTACTTCCCCAGAACACATATACACACTGGTCAGTACTTACAAGACAGGGTGTCCTATCTGGTCTGCCATTTCAAATTTCTTTTGTAATTCTTCATCCCCTATTTCTTTCTCTTCACCTCCTCTAGGGACCACAGCCACTTTGCCATTGCTTCACAAAGCATCTTTCTTAAAACTGTTCCTTATGTTGGTTCTCTTAATTCATCAGAGTAACTTTATTCCTCATATTTGGGAATCTTAAGTAAGTTAAGAATTTCATAACCAACTGGTTAAAGAGATCCTTTTATGACATCTGTCATGTAATACTGTTTCCTTTGCCCAAATTTAGGATTAGCCCCACTACTAATGCAATATTTTTAAAGAGGTAGTTCAAAATAAGCTCATGAAAAGATTCTCAACATCATTAATCACTATGGATATGCAAATCAAATTAAAACCACAATGAGAAAATACTACACACCATTAGAATGGTTAAAATAAAAGATTGACCATATCAAATGTTGGCAAAATGTGGAGCTCTCGCACCCTGCTGGTGGGAATATAAAATAGTACGAGCACTTTATAAAACAATTTGGCAGTTTCCTTAAAAGCTAAGTATACACTTACCATACAATTGAAACATTCCACTCCTGAGTATTGACTCAAGAAAAATAATGGGTCTTGCCTACAAATGTCCATTATAGTCTTATCTCAATTAGCCAAAAACTGGAAACCAACCAAATGTCCATCAACAGGTAAATGGATACACCAATTATGGTAAATCTATGCAACAGAACACCAGTAGGCAATAAAATGAAATAAACCACAGATCCACACAACATGATTAATTTCAAAATAATAATGTGAGAGAAAGAAGCCAAACAACAAAAAAGAGTACCTGTTTGCTTCCATTTATTTAAAATTATAAGAACAACAAACTAATATATAATGACAGAAAAGAGATGAATGGTTGCCTGGGGATGGGTGGAGGGAGGGAGGAATGGTTTACAACAGGGCACGAGGAACATGAGGAAACTTTTAGGAGTAACATATTCATTATCTTGAGTGTGACAACAATTTTATGGGTATACATATGTCAAAAAACATGAAATTAATACACTTTAAATATATGTAGTTTATCATAATGTAGTTTATCAACAAAGCTGTAAAAATTTTATACAAGTGGGTAACCCACCTTTCTTTCTTCCTTTGGTGGATCAGACAAAAGCTTAGAATGATCACAGATAGCATAGAAAGAAAGTAACATTAGGAAAGATTTTCCTTCTAGGAAAACATAGTTAAGGAAAGGATGACAGAGTAGGGAAGAGGATATTTAATGACTTTATATTCTCTTTTCTAAATCCTATCATAAGGAGCACATTCTTCTTTCATATTGTCATTCTCAAGGTCAGAGACCAGAGAAAGGACATTTTCTAGTTCAAAAACATCAACCCTGTGCTTCATAATTCTTTATTTCCACTCTACCTATAGTCAGCAGGTGGCGATGGAGACTAAGAATTAAAATGGATGGGGCAAGTCTCCAGAAAAAATTTTTTCCCCATTTTTCTCCTCCCTTTTATTGCCCTCCACCCTGCACCACCCCACCACCCAGCATCGCCCCCCCATTCATGTCCACGGGTTGTACATATAAGTTCTTTGGCTTCTCCATTCCCTATACTATCCTTAACCTCCCCCTGCCTATATTGTACCTACTATCTATGCTGCTTATTCCCTGTACCTTTTCCCCTATTCCTCCTCTTCCCTTCCCCCTCCGTTTTACTGTTCATAGTCTTTCATCTTTTTCTTTTTCTTAGATAAGGTCCCTTTAACATTTCATATAATAAAGGCTTCATAATGATGAACTCCTTTCACTTTACCTTATCTGGGAAGCACTTTATCTGCCCTTCCATTCTAAATGACAGCTTTGCTGGATAGAGTAATCTTGCGTGTAGGTCCTTGCCTTTCATAACTTTGAAAACTTCTTGCCAGCCCCTTCTTGCCTGCTTCTTTTCTTTTGAGAAATCAGCTGATAGTCTTATGGGAACTCCTTTGTAGGTAACTGTCTCTTTTTCTCTTGTTGCTTTTAAGACCTCCTTACCTTTAATCTTGGGTAAGGTAATTAGGATGTGCCTTGGTGTGTGCTTCCTTGGGTCCACTTCTTTGGGACTCTCTGAGCTTCCTGGACCTCCTGGAAGTCTATTTCCTTCACCAGATTGGGGAAGTTCGTCTTCATTATTTTTTCAAATAAGCTTTAAATTTCTTGCTCTCCCTCTTCTCCTTCTGGCACCCCTAGGATTCATATGTTGAAACATTTGAAGTTGTCTGAGAGGTTCCTAAGCCTCTCATTTTTTTGAATTCTTGTTTCTTCATTCTGTTCTGGTTGAATGTTTATCTCTTTCTTCTTCTCCAAAGCATTGATTTGAGTCCCAGTTTCCTTCTTTTTACTGTTAGTTCCCTGTATATTTTTCTTTATTTCACTTGGCATAGCCTTTGCTTTTTCATCCACTTTGCAACCATACTCAACCAATTTAGTGAGCATCCAGATTACCCATGTTTTGAATTGTGTATCTGATAAGTTGGCTACCTCTTCATCACTTAGTACTATTTTTGGAGCTTTGATCTGTTCTTTCCCTTGGGCCATATTTCTTTGTCTCAGCGCTCCTGTTATGTTGGAAGGGGCAGATCCTTAGGTGTTTGCCAGGGTGGGGCAACCCAGGTCGGTCACTGAGTTGTGATGCTCTCTATGGGCAAGGGGTCCAAGAGGGAACAATGCTGCTTGCTTGGCTCTCAGCCAGCTTTCAGTCACTTCCCCCACTACCCACAAGCAAATTGGGCCCTTCTAGTGATGATTCTCAGGTGGGTGGGTTTGTGCACGGACCCCATGGGTCTCTCCAATGGACTCTCCTGTGAGGCTGGGAGTTTCTCCTGCCCCCACAACTCCCACCAGTTTTTACCTCTAGAGGTTTTGAGGCTTTCTTTTCCCACACTGGAACCCTGGAGTTTGTGGTCTGCCTCGCTCTCCAGCTGTTCCTCCCAGTATATCCACATACAAATGTGGAACCACCTGGTCTCTCAGCCGCTGCCTTGGTGGCCCAGTCCTCCAGCTGCTGCTTTGCCACACATCTTCTCCACCCCAGCTGCCCATCTCTGCCCCTCCTACTGGTCTAGATGAATGTTTCTTCTTTAGCTCCTTGGTTATCAGACTTCCATACAGTTCGACTTTCTGGCAGTTCTGGTTATTTTTTGTTTTTAAATTTGTTGTTGTCCTTCTCTTGGTTGTGCGAGGAGGCAAATGTATCTGCCTACACCTCTATCTTGGCTGGAAGTCCTCCCTGAAAACTTTTCTAGATTACCTGGTATGTTGCCCATTTGAGAAAAAATATTAATAAGCATTTGGCAGAATTGTCACTTTGAAAATAAACTGAAGCTAGGTGCATGGTAAAGTAAAGAAATTGTTTAAGTTATTATAATGTCAAAACAAAGGGTTATTCAAGACATAAAACAATCAAAATACACTACTTGGCTCCACATGGATATAACTTACACAGTGATAATAATGTAAACACTAAGTATGGATTTAGCCAAAATTGTGATATAACTCTATTGGGAGGTTGAGGTAACAGGAAATGGAAGGTAGGGATACAATGGGATATAAAAATGCTTAAAATTTCAATTATTATAACAAAAAAAGGAGTAGATATGTCTAATATTTCTAAATTAAGAAATAAAAGAAGCAGTTTAGAAATATGAAGTAAATAACACATTAAAAAGCTGAAATAACTGGAAGAAATAATTCAGTAGAGACCTGAGGAGTGCTTTTTTAATGTAAGTATTAAATATTACATGATTTCAACTACATTATATTACATTATTTTGATTTTTAAAAGGGAGGGTA